CGCACACAAAAGCCGAAAGAGACGCAAAAGACGAGGGTCCTTGAGGAAAACGTATATGCTAGACAAAACATACTTCCTTGGGTCTTGCTTATCAGCCGATAAACAAGGCCTATAATACAATCGGGTATATGCCATGTTGCACCGGTCTGTTGGACAACAAAATGGGGCATGCAACAGGGGAAAGCCCCAGGGCAACCGGAAAGGAGTAAAGTGCGTTGGCACTGCGAGAAACTAGCTAAGTAAGTTAGGCTACAATAAATTTGTTAGCAACATTTTAAGCATTAAAAAAGCCTATAATAGTCTTTATAAATGACTTCTACTAAATAAAATGTAACTAGACTTTAATAATTATTAAATGGTCTAAATGCAACTAAAACTTGGCGCCCAACGTGGGGCGTTATGTGTATGTACTATAAATTGGCGCCCAACTTGGGGCTCTATGTATTTGTTCATTGTGCATTACATACAGAAAGTCTGTTCAATACTGTTCCATCATTCCTTTTCCTCTTTCCTCAATTTCTTCCTGTGTTTTAGGTGGAAAACATTAATTACACACACGTTTGCCAGAGGTCCAGGACAGGCAGTTCCGAACAGGAGCCTTGCAGAGCGGCCAGACCAGAAGGCAAACCACAAGCGCGTCATTACCAAACGGGGAAAACCAGAGATGGAAAATGTAAAGAGAGGTTGGGTATGGAGCATTGTGGAAAAGGGACAGGGAATTGAGTCTCTGACGCAGAGATGAGGCCAGCGGGAATTGGGAATCGTTTCATAGTTCGCCACGTGAACTCCTGCTGCATTTTATCTGCTCCAATTGCAACGGAGGCGACGCATTGGGATCCCACGGGAGCGAAAGGGACGAGCACATCTGTGTAAAAGGGACGGTGACAGCCCCACAGCATATTTACATTTGCTCGGCATTTAATGCAAGTGGGAATTACAAAAGGAGGGCGTGGCTAACGATGGTGTTGTGGCTGTTGTTGTTGTCCTGGGTGTCTGCCTTCTGGCAGGCGATTTAAAATATTCGAACCAAGCCGCAGAAAGAGCCAGAGAGATAGATAGTTAAAAGCTGGAGGGGATAGGTTTAAAAGCATAAACGGAAACAGCACAATATGCACTACACAGTACAAAATAAATGACAAAGCTGTCTAAAAGTATGCTACGGGAATATAAAAGTTGTCTTTGGAAAGAAATCCAAAGAACTTCTTGATTCGATAAACTTTGTTGCATACTTTTGGACACCTCCAATATAATTTCAAACCAAAAGTGTAAAAGCTATAATCTTTTTATAAACATTTGTCACATTTGTGATGATTTCAATATCCTTCTAAATGTTAAATGTAGATTAAATTTAACAAAATACTTAGTGGAGAACCCATCGAAACTACAAAATCTTTTATTAATAAACCGTTAAATACGTTCTATGTTAGTGAACAAACATAAAATCCCATTGATTTAGTATAAATTTACTATTTATTGTATCAACACAAGCCAATTTAGCAATATTGACCAGGTAACATAGATAGCTGGCAATGATGATATTAATGACTGAGGCAGATTTTATCAAAACACAATTTGTCTATTTCTTCCTCTGTAATGCTCTGTGTTTCCAGCTTTTCAGCCAGCATTTTCCCGTAAGAGCGGTAAACAATAATAACAGGCAACAACAATGAAGCATGATGGCCCTGGGAGGATTACAGGACACATCCATGGGCGGGGGTAATCGAGGGGGTTTGGGATGGAGGGAGGACCAAAAGGACCAAGAGAACAGAAACTGAAGCATCGGGCGAGTATGCGACTAAGTGTTTTGCAACGGAAATGCCGGGCTATCATGCAAAAAGCCACTGTCAGATTAACGAACCATGGCCAAAACAGATGGGGGGTGAAAACGGGGTTGGATGGGCGATGGGGGGGGTGCCCGGGACCAGAAACGTAGGTATATCCAGAAGGTAAATGGCATCGGGAGATCCGCAGTCAGGCACGTGACGCAGCGACAGTCCATGACCAAGTGCTGATTTTTTATCAGCCGGAATGCGAGGAAGTGACAGGAAGAGGGACAGTGAGAGAGATGGGCCAAGAACTGAACGAAAACTGGCAAAAAGGTTATTGACATTGTTGTTTCCACGCTCCACTACCACCCCAAAACTACCCCCACCAACTGCATTTCTGTCTCGTCTGATTCGTTCACTTCACAAAATTCGTAGACTTGCAAGCAAACAGACGACGAAAAAATGCAAAATGAAAAATGATCTGGAAACTGGGAAGTATGTTGGCTAAAGTATCCAAACTTAAACAAAAACTTTTTATAACTGTGGCTTCAACAGCTTTTTAAGTACTTATATGGCTTTAAGGAATATTATCTTTAGTGGTGTTAAACAGAATGGAAATTTACTTATTTAATTGCAATTTAAGCTCATAATTCAATTTAAAATGAAAAATGTTAAGAAAATTAGTGCTGAAAATTTTATATATACTGAAAACCAATCCAAAATACCTTTTTAAGACCAGGATCTAAGTCATAACGCTTTTAACTTTCTCATCAATTTCTGAACGCTAAAAACAAAAGCTCAATTATTTTTGATCACCAATAAAATTCACCCCCATCACTTTGGATTCCACCCGGCAATCAAAATGGAAGCCCCCGCCACTTGTGTGTGACAAAACCCCTTGAAAACATCATTGGGTTCTTGAAACGGGTCCAAAAACCGCTTAAAAAGCATTGCATACTTGCAGGCGCCTCCTTGAGAAATACAAAAAAAAAAGAGTAAAAAAGCATATAAAAGTGGCAGCCAGGACAAAAATAAAACGCTGCACAAAAACGGCAACAGAAAAACAAAGCAAAGTCAAGCGGAACGTAACAGAAACTGCGCAACTTTTGAAGAGGTGGAAATGCTTTTTAAGTATTAATTTGCGCAAACACTCGACGCAGCAACGAAAAAAATGCGGGGAAAAGCGAGGAAAACAACAAAGCAGGCAAAAAACAAGTTAATAAAGCAGTTGCAGCTGTAGCACCTCCTCAATTTCAGTTTTCCTCTCTGCTCATTTCAACCTCCTTGTTTGTTTTCACTTAACAAAAATGTAATGTTGCTATTTAGAAGAACACTTGATTTTTTGATAAAATAAAAATAAAAGAAAATGGTTATTAAAAAAATATATTTAAAATGAAACTGAAATCCTTAAGCTCTTATAAAGGCATTGGTAATAAAGAACAGATTATTTTCTTGGTTGTAATTAACATTTAGTAATTATTTATGTCTGTTACAGAAAAATGATCTCTGATTATAGTAAAGTAAAATATAAAAATAGTTATCACAATTAAGTCAATTCGTTAAAAGTTTTTTAAAAGTTTTTCAAATAATTTATGGTGCTTATGATATAAATAATATTATAATATCAATAAGCATATTCCTTATGAGGGATATTAAATATTTGTATGTAGGTTTGCATAATTTTATTTTGATTTGAATTTTTTCCCAATGTTTGTGTATAATAATTTCATTTATTTGGGTAATTAAATATCTTTAAGTGACCATAATCATATTTTTCTAAATTTTTCTGTGTGTTCTCTTTGGGCAACGTCCCCACTAATTGTTTGCAACATGGTCTATCGCTTTGCTCAAACACCTCGCCTAAAATACGTAGGACACCCGCAGGACACCTCCGTTAAAAGGTTTCCCTAAACAGCCCCTTCGATATAGTTCCTCCTCGCCCTTTCCTCCTCAACCCAGTGCATTTTTACTGTTTTGCGTTAATTGAAAACTTTTTTGCCAGCAGATATTCGTATTTTTCGCAGCATGGCAAAAACAAAACTGAATTGGAAAACTTTTCTAGTTTTTCCCACACTACAAACTACAAAACAGGGGTGTGGAAAGTTGTCGTAAGTAGAAGTGCAACTCTGAGTTTTTAACGCTTTGCCGCCTTTCATTTGTTTAGACTTTAAACACCCACCGCCACCCTCTGAAAGCTTAAAGTTCCAGTGGTCTACCAACCCCCACCAAAAAAAAAAAGGAAGAAAAACACCCCAAATTCAGCACCAGACTTAAGTGTGTTTGTGTTTCCTCTCAGAACTTGGCGGCCAATTAGTTGGTTGCACTGAAATCCAAGGGGGGAAAGGGATTTTGGGGGCTTCAACTGGTTGTGGCAGCTGTTATATTCGAGACTTGGACTTGGACACTTTAAGCTGTTTGGGCTGCCGCGTTTTTTGGTATTGGAATATTGTCATAAAGTGAAGTGGAGGAAGTCGGGGTTCTTGCTAAGTGAATTTTCAAGGAGTATCTTAAGTTCTTAAATAGTACTGTCAGCTTAAAATGCATTAAAATATTAGCAAACTCTGATTTAAAAACAATGTTTTAGTTATGCCTATATCCTTCTCTTTAAAAACAGTAAATTCTAACATTTTTTAGGAATTGTTCAGAACGAAATAATAATTTAAACTTATTATTTGGTATTGCCTACAATATCAACAATCATTAAAAATGAATTACCCCATTAACAGGTTTATTAAAGACTAATTGAGAACGTATTCATTCACAAGTATTAATTTTTAAAAGCTTTAAAAGCTTTTTTATTCATAATTTCTCAATAGCTGTAGGCAATCATCAAAAATGACTTCATTGACAACAGGTTTTATTGTTTTCTGGTGGAGATAAGAAAAGTTTAAGAACACTTAAGCCGCTTCCCACAATCAATTGAAGTGACTCAAAGCTATTAGCATTAAGTATTTAATTGACACGAGGCTTAACAAATATTTAATGAAGTTAAGGGAATTACGGAAACCATATGAAGGCTTTATTACTTAAAACTGTAACCACCCTATTCAGTAACTTACCAGGGATATATAATTCAAATCACTTTTAAAGGTGTCTAAAAGTATGCAATGATATATTTTAAGTCCGATGGACTTTTCACTGCATACTTATAGGAACCTTCATTAGTGATTTCTAAGCTGTAGGGTTTTTTTTATATCTTTTTTTTTTCATTTAATAAGTTCTTAAAAGACTTACGATTTCCCTCTGCAGCTTGGCGATGTTGAAGTTCGCCTGGGCGAGTCTCACACTCAAGGTGGCCACATCGCTGGTTAGTTGGGCCCTCTCGCCGGCATTCCGATCCACCAGCTTGAGCATCTTGTCCTCCAGACTCTGATTGACCTTCTGAACCCGCTTGTGCGATTCGTACAGCCGATCGTACTTGTCCTGCCACGCAATCACACTATCCTCGAGTTCCACTTGCCGTTCCGTTTCCCTCAGACAAGCCGATTCCAGGGCATATAGCTGGGTTTGCTTCTCGATTAATGCCTGTTGCAGTTGCTCAATTTCCGCTGTTGCGGGGGCGGAAGTCGAGGGGGGCGTGGCACATATAGCCGTGGATATTGCTGATTTTCCAGTTGCAGTTGCAGTGGCAGCCCCTCCGCCACTCGATATCTCTGCTGTTTTCGGTGTGCCCGCTGTGGCAGCCTGCAATTGAGTAAACACACAAAATGAAATTATGAGCTGCAAATATTTTGTAATTAATTTTGCTTCCGGAGTGGACAAAACAACAACGCATACCGGACGCAAAGTGTCACACGTTTTCGACTGCAAAAACCGTACTGAAAAGACCCGGACAAAGCGAACTCCGTGGAATGCTGCGGACAGCTTCATTATTTTACCAGCGGATCTCCTCTCTTCGTATTTTTTATTATGTTCTTCTTTTGCTTAATTTTTATACAACATTTTAAAAAGCTTTGAGCGCGCCGTGTCATAAAAATGCACGTCATGCCAGGGAATTTGTTAGCAAGGGGTGGTGAAGGTCCGACTTAACCCACAACGCACAGCATCTGCTGCAGATAAGGTTTAATCAGTGGGTTAAGTCAGGGTGAAAGCTGAAATACACTTTCGGTTATGAAATATGTAGTTTAATATATCAAATAAATTTATTTTTATATTTATTAGTACATTTAAATGTACTTTAGTATTAAATATTAGATGAAAATCGGAACAAATAGGTTTTGTTGTTTTAACCTTAAGCTGAAATACACTTTAGGTTATGAAATATATAGTTAAATAAATCAAATATATTTATTTTAATATTTATTAGTACATTTAAATATACTTTAGTATTAAATATTCGATTTTTTACTAAAATCGGAACCAAACAAGTTTTATTGTTTTAACCTTAAGCCACCAACATTACCATTACCTTAGCAACAAGGTATATATATAAAAACGTTTTGTTTATAATAAAAGTATTTACTTTTAAGTAAAAATCCAACTACCCCATAATTCTAAGGGTAGAGTATAGTACATGGATCTGGGTCTCTTGACAACTGATAAGCGATGTGTAACTGTGGATTAAACAGCACTCAAACAGAGGGTAATACGAAATCAGAGAGAGTAAAATTCAACGAGAGAGATCATTCGAAGAGAACTGAAAAAGAGATAATACCTCGAAGCTTTGGTTTTTTTTTATAAACATATAATCAGAACCAAACAAACAAACATATACATATATAAATATATTCAAAATACCAACTAATCTGAGCAGATAATCAAAACAACATTGGTCATTGCCATCTCAGTGATAATACTCGTAACAATAATACTAGATTTATTTAAAAAAAATCCAATTAAATAAAACTAATTAAGTAGATTGTAGTTAAGTAAGAGTTAGTAAGAGTTTTAAATTTTACAACGTTTTACAAAAGCGATTTTGCCTTGCAAAATGTTAATGAACGCATTAATTTCTTAACGATAAGGTACAACGAATTTTAAGTGACAGCTTTAGAAGAATTTCCTATTTCGTTTATCTAAATTAGAATTACAACGATGGTCGAGTATACGAACGAGTATAAAAAGGCAGTGTTTAGTTCAACCAATATTGTAAAGTGTTTTTAGCCTGCACAAGAGAAAATGAAGTGGATTTGGAGCCTTTTAATCCTAGGAATTGTTTTTGGTGTAACTGAAGGAAGAATCCTACAACCGGTAGAATATTCCACATTTTTAAAAAGAATTTAAGATTAAACAATTTTCATTTTACAGGAGCAACGTGCGGACGCAAACACTACAGTAATATATTTTCGTAATCCCTAAATAGTATATTATATATATATCCATGCGGAGGCGAGAAAGCTGATTAATATTGAACACCCAAAAAAAATGTATATTGCAGGCGGATCCAGAGAAAAAGCCGGAATCACCTGCAGCACCCGCATCACCCACATCATCCACATCATCCACATCACCTGCACCCCAAGGAAGTTCAACAACTGCAAAAGATAAATACACTCTAGAAGAGGAGAAATTAACAAAAGATCTTGAGGACATTCTTTCTAAATATGAACGTGAATGCATTGGTAATCCTGAGTTTTCCGCTAATCTGGATAAGGTACGCAAAGCGATAAAATGGAACAATGGCACTTTGCAACAAAAATATGAACTTAAATTTGAATTCGATAATTACAATAAGCTACGTATTGACCTTGAAAAAAAAATCGATATCGCAATTGAAACGTTAAATGAAGTTCTTCCTACTTTAGAACCGAACAGCTACTGTTCAAAGAAATTACTTAAACAAAGAGAAGCACTTAAAAAAGCCAAGCAACTTTCGAATGAGGGAAAATTAGATTCATTAACGGTAAACTCAAAAGAATGCGATAATACTGATGATGATTCTTTCGATTATAATTATTTAAATTAAATAAACGTGCTAAATTGAATACTAAATTATTGAGAAAGAAATCCACAAAATACGTAGAGTTTTTAAAATTTGATAGTTCGTGTGTCAGAATAAAATTAATGAGCCTTGTAAATAATCATAGGATCCTATATTTGTATATAAAATCAGTTTACATTTAAAAAAGTAATAAGGACAATAAGGTTCATCAAGGACCGACTTTAAAATTTAATTTTCATTGTTATAAAATTATAAAATGAGTACAAAAATATTGATTCCTCAAAAACAATAAATTCTAATGAAAAGTAAACACTGTTTCTAAGTTATGATAAATAAAATGCGTTAAATAATCTTGAATAATAAACACTAGTTTTGAAAACTTTCTTTTACAAGTTAAAAAACCTATTCAATCTCTTTTTCTTATCATCCAACTGACAACTCCACCTCAATCCATAACGCGGCTATCAATATCAATTCTCATCCATCTCAGGCTCGTCCAATTTAGATGGAAATTTCAAATTTAGTTGCGAGTAGCGACGCAGATGGCTGGGAATCAAAGTGCAAACTACGTTCCCAAACAACTAATTGGATTAACTTGACACAAAAAGAGGAGAAGGAGTTGCAGCCAGAATGTCGCCAGTGGAAACTTTGTCTTTGCTTACTCCGTTCGACTCCTTGAAACCGTTGGAAAACCACATGAGTTTTCCTTTTCGTCACATATGAGCGACATGAATTGGCGAGGGAAAGTCATGTCGCCGGGACACGACAAACCTAAAAACTGCAAAATGTACAGAAAATTTAATTAAAAAAGGATTTTCGGCCTGGCAAGTTGCTTGGCTTCTTCTGCTGTTTTCTTCTTCGCTGACTTGGCCTCTTTTGGCCTCTATTTTTCCCACATTTTCCTCCTCGAGCTAAATAATTTTTCTTCGCACTCCATTTTGTGCCAACGAACGCATAAGAAAATTCAATTTATAGTTTGTGTGTGTGGGCGTGGCAAATTGCCAAAGACAGACAATGCTATTAATTAATTTGGAAAGCATTTGCCGAGCGGAAGAAGAAGGCGGTAACAATTAAAATGGAACCGGTTAAAGTGCCGCCGGGTTGTTCATTTTGTGGGCCAAAACGATGAAGAGTTGGCCAAAAAGTTTGCTTCTGGCATGTCCATGTGTGAATTTCCGGTCCACACTTGTGTGGGCATGCATTTTCCCGGCATATGATAGTTATTTCCCCCCCAATATGATTTGTTTGCCTTTGGTCATTAAAACCATTTTCGTGTTCCCACACATTTTTCCGCTTTTATGTCGACATTTATGTTAGGTTTTTGCTTGCGGCCTGTTTTTCAATAATTTATTAAACGCTTTTTGCTTTGGTGCACACAAATGGTTTAAACAAGCTAAGCGTGGGGCTTTTCCTGTTGTTTTTTCAACACTTTTTGTTAATCATTTTTAATTGATATTATTAAGGATTAAGTTGTAAATTGAATAATGGGCTAGATTGTATTTCATATCTCCATTTTAAAATTGCGTAATTTATCTGGTTCGGCTGCTATCGCATTCAATTCTCCTGTCATTGTTTCAATTTATATTGTTTTACTATCAGTAAACTAAAGTGACAACTTGATTGCTTTATAGAGTTTACTTACTCTAAATTAAGGCCAAAGTTCTTGGAAATAACAAGCTTAATAGGATTCATTTTTAGTATTTTAATACTAAACACATCATTTAAAAAAAACTTGAATCGCTTGTCATTAACCTTTCCAACACTTTTTATCGGGTTGGAATCCTGTCAGCAACAAGCATTCTCTTTTGTTTCCTGAAGATCCCTCTTCAATCCTTTCGCTGCTCATTTTTCATGGTTAAGCAACAATTTGGGGAAAGGAAAAGCTGCTTGTTGAGTTTTCCCATGCGCGCCGATGACTCTCCGAAAACCGTTTTCTAATTGTCATCCTTCTACTTGGAGTGCATTGGAAAACCCAGAAAGTAATGAGAGGAGCTTGAGAAAATACTAACGGACAAAATGGGGGAGTTCGGTGCCCTTGTCATTATTTATTATGTTGCTCAAGTCTTTCATTACACAAGCATTTTTGTCTTTCATTTGTTGCCTCTTGTGCCAAAAAAAAAAAATAAGAAAAGTAACAAGGAAACGGGGGAGAATTTCTTATCAACCTTACCGAGGATGTTGTCACATTCCTTCACTGCTTATTTACAGTTATTCGGTTGCTCATTTTCTCCGCCATTTTTCTTCATACCCATACAAAGGCTTACAAAAAAAAACGGGAGGAAACGGAAGTGTGGCGCCCAAGTGTGGACTTTAAATACGAGAATAATTCCCATCATTATAGAGTTCGAGGTTCATTTTAAACACAGAAAAAATTGTTTTGAATATGGAAACGAGCCTAATTCTATCTAAAAATTTCTATGATTAATAAATAACATACATTATGGTAAGCACGTATTTTCAAAAATTAAAGAACATTGTGTTTTTTGATTTTACTCCCATTGAAATAGTTAAATTAAACCATCCTTAAACAAAAAATCTTCTTAAATTTAAGTATAAAAAGTAAAACCTTTTGTATACATTTACTTTAAATCTTTATTTTGGATTTAAAATTATAATTGACAATTTATCAAAGCCTATACTAATGTAATATACATTTAAGCAACCCCTAAAAAGTATTGTAAAAAAGGAATGCTTGAAAAAGTTTCACCTAAATTGATGTAAATGTTCTCCCCATGGAACTAACTTTATGGTTCAGCCTCATTTGAGGGGATAATTACAGATCATCCAGAGTCCCCGACCACCTCGATTTCCCCGATGTTGTTTCAGTAACCCAAAACTCGCGACTTTTCCCTGGTTCAATCGATAAACAAATGCGGTAAACATCAATGGGCAGCGGGACAGGACCCAGCGGGAAACTCACACAAGAGTGCTTGGGCAAACAACCTCGTTGGATGATGAATGGAAGGTCAATTGCCGTGACCCCGGCAAAATAAAAGAAGATGAAGAAGGCAAACTGGGGCCAAAGGCAGTGCTCAGCGCTGACATTTAACGCAAAACGACGCGGTCCTGTCAATGCCAATGTCCTGGATGAGAAGCCAGGATATGAGGATACGACGATGCCAGGATGCAGGGAGGAAGAATGGGAGAAGGAGCAACTCGAGATCCCGACCAGGAATGTTTATGCGAATGCTTGGGCACAAAAACATACGTGACGTGCCTCAGTTTTCGACCCCATCTCGTTTACTTCGACCCTCCGGTCTCCATTTCTATTCATGTATGTCCTGCACACTTAAAAAAATACGTCATTAAATAACGAGCAATAATCAGGCAACTTTGGAACATTAAAAGGGAATTGGATGTCAGAAAATAAATTTAAAAATCTTTTGAATATTGAATACAAAATTATAATGAATAATTGTATTATAAAATACATTTATTTATCAATTTTTAAAAATATTTTTTGTATGATTACATTCGATTTATGAAAGGTCTTACAGAGTGCTTAAAAGTATGCAACGAATTTAACCCGAAGCAAGATTTTCATATTTCCTTGCATACTTTTAGACACCAATTAAAGCACTAAATTAAGGTAAAAAAACATTTTGTATTGACAAAAAAAACTGTCCTTTGAACAAAAAGCATGAAAAGAATCATTCCTAACTATCTTTCAAGAACTAAGTATTTATTATTATAAGGATTTTTTATTTTTGTTTTATATATATTTTTAAATTTTTAAAAATCATTTCTTTTAGTGTCTTTAAGCGGCGGAAGCGATGTGCACCGACTGACAGCTGAAGGAACACGAATAAACGAGAAGTCTGGCAGCGGGCGAAGCGAAATCCCTCAGCTGGAAAAATGCCTCATCTTGGCCTGACAGTTCGCCGAGTTGCGTCAACTTGTCGTCATATTTTTCAGTCAACTGAAAGTTCTCTATGACTTCCTCGATATAAGGATATATGTAAGGGGGCGACAGTGGTCCTAGGATGTGTGCCTGGGTGTGTGCTTGTGTAATTAGGATAATGGTTGCAGTGGCAAACCATTCAATAGGATTTTTATAGAATGTGCCGCAATCGCTTAGGGTTCTTATACAATTTGAAGAACGACTTTCAACGACACCTTCATTTTAAATTGATGATGATGGTTGACAGTTTAATCAGAATAAAATGCCTTTAGTTAAACATTTTGTTTTGAACAACAGCTAAGTACTGTATATTTAGGCATTGTTTGCTTTAATAATAATAATATTTAATCTGGTGTCGAACTCTTTATCCAAACATTTATTTAATATTCTAGGTAATTGACATATGTAAATATAAAACAACTAGTCAACTTAACCCACTGTGCATTATCGTTAAGCCCACCAAAGGGCCCTAAATGTGAATGGTAAGTATCCTGGCATATTTCTTATTGTGCGTATCTCTGTCTGGTTGAATTTTCCGTACATTTTGCGCCTGACACATTATGTTAATACGCTTGTAGTTGAATACTGGCAAATATTGAGCTACATGCCGCAGTTACCATTCTGTATTTGAGTCAAAACACGCACACACGTATCCAGAAAAACACGCGAAATTTATGCATATTTTGATGACATTTTGAGCGCATAACGCAAAATGTCAAATACATAAAAATGAAAAGCCGGCGAAACAAGTTACGAAGTGAAAGAGTAAACCGAATGGCAAAATCATTTCATCCAATACACGCACATTCCAAATGACAACCAATGTGCCCGTTTTACAGAGAAAGAAATTTTAAAAAATGTTGAAATTTTATATTTATAATCTTAACCAAAATATATACATACTAAAATATAAAACAACATAATATATTATAATATACAACAATATTTTAATTAAATCAATTTATTTTTTATTTAAATCTTGAAATTCTTTGAAATGGTGTCAAAAAGTATGCAATACTTTTTTATTTATGATTTTTTGGAGAATTTTTGTTACTGAAATTATTATTTAGTTTAAATATATGGTGCTACATTTCTTTATTTTTTAAGTGTAGTAAAATACATAT